GAGAGAGAGAGAGAGAGAGAGAGAGAGAGAGAGAGAGAGAGAGAGAGAGAGAGAGAGAGAGAGAGAGAGAGAGAGAGAGAGAGAGAGAGAGAGAGAGAGAGAGAGAGAGAGAGAGAGAGAGAGAGAGAGAGAGAGAGAGAGAGAGAGAGAGAGAGAGAGAGAGAGAGAGAGAGAGAGAGAGAGAGAGAGAGAGAGAGAGAGAGAGATTCGTTTACTCTAGGAGTAAGTCTATCTAAAGTTACTCCGTTCAATAATTCATATTTTACATCAAATTTAAATGATCCAACAATTAAATTTAAAGATTTTAATGCATAGATCAAATCTGCAAATTTTTAAAAAATTTGAAAATTATTTAATACTTAATTTCATAAATTTTAGAAAATACACCTTTTCTCACACATGGAGCAAAATGCTATATCAAAATAACTTGAAGACTAATTGTTAATTTTCTACTTATAAGCTAAATTACGCTCATTATACCACCCGATATATGGCATTTTGGAAGAATGTCAATGAACTTGCTCTCCTAGGAAATTTCAACATAGGAAGTTAAATTTTATGAAGTTTCAAATTCCCCTTCTAGGTAGCACTAATGAACTTGCCCCTTCAAAATAAATTCCTCCCAATATTCTTTTATTTGTTCTCACCCCATATGAACCCTCACTTCCATGACTCAAGATGTTTTTGTTAACTTAACTGAATTGAATATGGTCTTAGAGTTAGAGACATCAAATAGTGTACATTCTATAATGGGGAACATTTTCACCCTCGAAACAAAATCTTAGAAATCCATATTCAAACCCTAGGAAAATCTCCATGAACTAAACTTGACCTATAAATTTCTATTAATTGAACTATTCTAGGAGCGTCTATATAAGATATAGATCAATGACATTATCATCGGTGTAAGCTTAAAATTTTGACTTTGACAAAGCATCCAACATGAGTTTTAGTAGGAGATTTGGTAACAAAGGAGTGATCAAAGGCGCTAGCCATGGTACTTGTGAAGCTTTCTGATTAATTTTCCAAATGTAGAAAACATATGGGAATGGTTGTGAAGGTTTGGGTCAATTTTCAGAAGATAGTGACAAATATTATTTCAAGCTCATCTAGAAGAATGTTAATGGCACATCTAGGTGTACAAAATTTGGTCACAATAGTAACGTGGCTGATTGATAGCAAATGCTATTATAGGAAATAACAGACCAAACTCTTCCTTTTGTGAAAAAGTAAGCACCAGAAAGCAAAAATAAATGCAAAGAGAAGTAAAATAACGCCATAATTATCACGTGGGAAACATTCTTAATATGAGAAAGAAAGAAAAATTATCTAGTTCAACAAAAAAATCTCCACAATGAAAATAAAATTATAAAATTAACTTTTTTAGAAGATCACTCAAAAAATCCTACTCTCTCATGTACTTATATCTTTCCATTCTCTCAAAACATGATAGAACGACAACACTCGATGATTCTCTAAAAGACAAGTACAAAAACTCTTTCAG